CAGGCTATAGAAGTTAATATGACGTATTTCACTCGCAATTCGACCAGTCATTCATCGATTCTGAACATACTGTCCACCGGTTATTATACGGTTAGTATTAGCATATGGTTTGGTTTTCCGGCGTTTTTCATAAATTTTGCAAACAAAGGTGCTACTTGATCGAATCACGCGTACATCCTTATTCTGCTCAGGTATATTTTATGTGAATATGAATGCAAAATTTTGCTCAGTCACTTCCGGTCCGAAAGCTACAATTCTTCTAAGCTTCTGACTACGTGTGACGTAACAGATTGGAAATAATTTCCGCAGCTTTCTTCTCTTGGCCTGTTCTCCAGCTTCCAAATTAGGCTAATTTTATAAACTTAAGCTGCGAGCTGGAAATTTTTAGACTTTTATGCGTTTTTTGCAGCTATGCAATGCAAAAACGCATATTGACGAGGAGTTGTCTGTGTGTCCATGTGTCTGTATATCTGTGAGTCTGCGTGTCTGTGCGTCCGCGTGTCTATGTGTGCGTCTGTCACGCACTCTCATCTCAAGACCTATAAAAGCTACAGGGCTGAATCTTTGGGAACTTAATCCAAATACACGTACGGGCCCTTATCCCTAAAATGGGCGTCATTATCCGCGTGGTACTCAAGTAAGAGCTCGCCAAAGTTTTTTATGGGTAAGTTCATAATTCGGGAATCTGAGAAGCTAGAGTGCTAAAACCTTGAAGGGATGTTCCCCGTCCAAGTAGGTTTAGTGCACTCAAACCCATCCCCGGGTAATCGTGGTACCCGCATACGGGCCCGCCAAAGTTTTTTTCGTGTGAGTTCATAACTCGAGGATCTGAGAAGGTAGAAAGCTGAAATCTTAAGGTGTTGTCACCCGTCCAAATGGGTATTAATGAGCTCAAACCCAGCCCTCAGGTGTGCGTGTTACCCACGCACGGGCCCGCCAAAGTTTTGTTCGGCTAAGTTGATAACTCGGAAATTCGAAAAGCTAAAGTACTGTAATTTCGATAGGATACCGAGCTCAAACCCAGACTCCGGGCACGCGTGGTACCGCGAGGTACATACTGGCCCCCAAAGTTTTTTTCGGGTAAGTTGCTAACTCAGAAGCCAGGAAAGCTAGAAAGTTGAAATTTTAAGAGAATGTTTCCTAACAGTTCTGGCGGCCAATCTTAATTTGTTTAGCTAGAAACATTTGCCGAAAAAACCGGTGCCGGTGGCAACAAAAACTGCGGGGAACTATGCAAAAAACGCATCTTCGCACGGGCAGCCCGTGCGTTGGCCA